AGCCTGTGCAACACTTCAAGTAACACACTTCAAGGAATTTCTTTTCAGTAATAACAATGTAATAGCATCTAAAACTTAGGGGGAAAATACAATCCTGTTCTGATGCCAACCTTGTCACAAAGTTCTTTGGAAAGCCATAAAGCAGAAGACACTGGTTAGAAGATGCTTTACCTCATCTGTAACTTAAATGCAGATGCAACTGTGAATGCGTGGTAGCGCTTAAAGTATTCCTTGCAGAGTAAATTGTGTCTTTGCACATCCTTTTACACAAGCTGTACCCCTGGGAAGACCCACAAACCTCATTTCTTTTACCTCAACATAATATTGATCCACAAAGACTTCTGGGATTGTGTCTGCTTCTCCGTATATTAACAACACGGTGAGTTTTTTTTCCTAGGGAGAAGGTACAGTTCATAGACTTGGATATATACTGTATTGAATCTCCCATCAAGTACCACCTCGATGCTCTTTGAAAATACCTTCAGAATTAACTCAGTTGATTCTGGGGGTGTGCAAAAGCCACTGTTCAGCATTTACTCAGCTGACAAACACTGGACATTGTCCAGCACTGTCTCCTCTCTCACTCCTGCCTCTTCAGTCAGGCTTAGAGAAAAGCCTTGGGGGTTTTATTCTTGTTTCATTTGCCAGCCTCCTCCAAGAAACCTTCTTTCGTGTTCCCTGGCAGCACCTTACAACTCTAGTCCTGGTCTCACAGCAGCTACAATAATACAATTCATAATAATTCAGGAGACAAGTTAATTAGCTACAAATGTATGCAGTATATTTGAGTACTTACATATAGCTGAGATTAGTAAAGAGTTTACATCAAGTCTCCTATTTTGTTATCCCTTGTTCTGCCCAATTAACACATGATGAATTTCCCTCTACCTTGAGGTTAGATGTCTGAAACTTTTCAGCAGGGAATTACAAACAATTCACATTTCTTGACTTACCATTCATTGTTTCACTACAAAAAAAATAAAAATACAAACATTTGGTAAGTCTCAAGATTTTTGTTTCCCATGAAATCAAATAATCACTAGAACAGGCTGACCTCAAAATCTCATTTACTTCCATGGGTCTGAAAAAAAGATTTAATAAATCTGGGTCAAACACTGCTTTAAGATTTATGAGATTTACTGTTGACTTTGGGTAATCAGAACTCCACTTTAGAGCGCCACCAGTTTAATAAATCTGAACCAGTCCTATCTGCTCTACACAAGCTAATCATTCCTCTTTTTGCTAGCACCAAGCAACAGTAACTATAAATTAGGCAGATGTCCATTTAGGTTTATTTACATAGCAACTTCATAGTAAAAGTGCATATATGACAAATACATTGGGAAATCACTGGGAGAGGAAGATATTGCAAAATTACAGAGCTTATTTTGTGTAATTACTGAGTTCAACTAGTTATAGAACATTAGGGGCTTCAGGCTGAAAGGACAAATTTCAGCATGAGGTTTCAGACTTAGTAAATTACTAAATTGAAAACTATGGGAACCATAAAAAGCTGCCTGGAGTGCACGTCAATAGTGGAATTTGGAAAAATGATTCGTAGCACAGAAATAAAACCAGAAGGGGATCAAAGAAACAAGGAAGCAACAGGAGGAATTCACGGCATGTCATCAATGGCTGGACCATTTCATCATGCAACTGGCAACTTTCACAGCACCAATCCATACATCAGTAACTATGCAGATTTAATGCTGCTTACCAATGAAGAACGACAACATTTAGCATTAAATCGGGGGTGAAAAGGTTAGGTTTGTCATGCCCACATATGCATTATACAGGTGCTGAATTCAGACACACCACTACCTGAACTGCAGGCGGAAACTCTGGAAGCACTGCATTAATGGAATTAGGCAGCTGCATACAAACCCAAGCATGGGCCTTGGAGTCTCAGCAATCACACTTGTATCTGTGTACTGTTCCCAAAATGTTGTCCATATGTTACTTACTTGCAAAGGGCTTTTAGTGGAAGGAAGTTAAGTAGTTTGACAGAGCTTGTTTGAATAGAGTACCTGTGGAGCAGGCTCTAAGTATCTATGTTTAGAACAAGAGTAACAAGGCATCCCAGACTTGTTAATTTACTGACTGATCCTTCAACTCCAACTACTCATTTTCTGACCCGGGCCATTATTGCACTTTCTGAAAAATACATGCAGGTGGGAAGCCAATGTGGCACTTAAGTGAGGGAGAAACCACTCAGGAACATATTTATGGCACTAATTAAAGGGGAGGGAGGAAAAAACACACAAAAACTCCACAAAACCCCAGTGATTTCACTAGTAAGTGCCCAAAATTCAAATTCCACAGCTGGCAATTGCAGAGAAGCTCCTCTGACTCCCTGCAGATTTCTTTTCAGCAGGAAGTTTAATTAAGGTGTTTCCCCCACACACACACACAAGAAATTCCCTCTGCACCTGCCACACAGAGCAATTCTTTCATTTTCAGGAACAGGAATTCAAAGGAATCCCTGAAGCATATCAGAGTTAGGCTTGTGCTAAGTATCAATCATAATTCTCTTTTTAAAGATTCTATTTATCTTGTTTAAAACTAGAACATTAATCCAAAGCTAACCACTAGCCTCTGCATCAATGAGACAACTGAGGAAGTTAATGTAATATATAAAATACTGCAATAAACCGAAGTTTGCCCTGCGGCGCTTCAAGTTCCCTTTCTAAACTAGTCCAGGGAAATAGCAATTGGGTCACTCTCATTTTAGATCCCCCAACAGAAAAAGGCTGGTTTTACTAAATTTGGTAAAGAAGCCTAAATTACTGGTTTATTAACAGAGTCGTTTAACTTTGTCCCAAAAGTGAATGTCAAGGTTACCTTGAGTCCAGAGCAATGTCAAATAATAAAACAAGGTTTATCAATATCACTATGCCACATGGTACAACAGAAAACATGTAGGAGAAGAATTCTATTCCCTCTAAAATCCAGTGCTCTGCCCAAAACATGTATGACAAAGAACCAGAGTGGGTACAAAAAGAAAGCCGTAATGGCAATACCTTCAAGCAGTTCTGTAATGATCAGGCACACACTGATTATTTTTCTCTCCCAGACTTGTAGAGAAAACTAAAACACACCACTGCTTTTAATTTAATTTTTAAAAGGTTCATTCAGATTTGAAGTTATAGAGCTTTTTAGACATAGCACTGACATTAGTCACAAAGCATGACAAGTTTGAAGAGTCACAGCATCTAGAACACTAATGCCAATAAACCCTCTCTGCTCTTGTAGCATCCAACAGAACAAAACCAACCAGGTATCAGAGGTGATACATACACCCCTCAGACACAGGGAAAGAGGAAGACTTTGAGAATGGATCAACACAACAGTTATACCTAGAAGTGCTACTGATTTTATGCTCATTCGCTGATATAGGTCAGTGATGCTCCAGTGAAATAAATACTATGATGCAGCAGCAGTCGGCATCATTCCCGCTAACCAAAGGGAGCCAGAGAGTTCCCTGCAGACTAATTCAGCCTGCTCAGGAGAATAAAATACAGCTACACTGCCTACAGCTTCTGAGCTGGCTCAATTACAGCACGTGCTGATGTGGCTATACTGCTCCTGGCATCCAAACGAGCTTCCTCAGCTCTGTCCTGCCTCACGTACTCACAAAAGAGCATGCATTTCAGAAAGCTCAGCTAAACTCCAGCCAGAGACACCAAACGTAACAGCAGCCCATCTCAGTAAGGGGCTGAACAGCTTCCAGCAAAGGGCCACCCACAGCAGGAACTGATAAAACCCAGCAGCAGAGTGCGCAAGGAAGGGGCCCTGACTAGGACACAAAACTGCTATGGAAAGGCTGCCAAGGCTGCAGAGCTGAGGAAGGTCTCAACCACATCACGAAAGGGCTGTTCTTCCCTGGGAATCCTTATCAAAAATGCTGATACTGAAAGGAAACCTCACATGTATAAGTGCTCATCAGCACAATCTACTCAACCATATGCCAGAGGCTGTATGAACACCATAATCTGGGGGATAGTGAACAGTAACTTAAGAAAGATGTGGGGTGGGGGAAGTTATAAACTGGCAGTGGTGGAAAAGCAAGCTGAGATTTCAGTTAGGGAAAAAGATATAAGAAACACGTTAGGTCACTAGATTTGCTAGAGACAAATTTGTCTAAGATTATTCTATTTATCCTAGTGCTCCTCTAAGTACATAGGTCATGACCACAACATGGGAAGATGTTCCGATTATGAGCTGCAACTGCACCAGTCCACCATTAATAAACAGAAAAAGCAGCTACAGCCTTACTCTATAACATGAAGTGCACCTACATATGTGCATTATACAGAGCAGCTTTACTCCATAATACAATGTGCGATGGGTAACTATGTGTCTGCTCCCTATGTCACCAAAAAGCTGGTATAGGTAACAGTGTGCCATATTAGAGAAGTCAGAACTGGGAAAAACCTACAAAAATAAGTCTATTCGACAAATTAGAGGAAAAAAAACCACTAAAATCTCCAACGCCTTGAATTCATTTCCCATAGGGAACTTAACCATTTTCAATTATCAAAACCATGATGCGCCTTGTGATGCCCATCACATCATTTCCTCTTCCTGGGCTGTCTTTATCAGTCTCCATCCTCCACACTGTTTTCTACAGCCAACCTAACAACCTCCCATTTCCTCTGGAGTTACCTCCTGTACAATTGGACCCAAGAAACTGAGTGTTTCAAGCGTTAAAAAGTCAATTTCATCCAGCATTCACTTTTGCTTGTGGATGTTGCAGATGATCACACTTCAAAACCCCATAAGCCTGCTTTGTGTAGTTTGGTCTGTGGGCTTCTTGGGGTTGCTTTAACACAAAGCCCCTCAGAGGCACAGACACAGGCTCAGCCTACCCACCAGCTGTGCTGCCATGAATAAAAATGAATAAATACCGACATATTAACTGTTAGGATAACAAAACCTACAGCATGTTACCAAATACCCGTCACTTTGACAGGGAAAGTCCATAAAGAGACAGAGCTCACCTGACACCACAGTCCAGGAGATGTTTGCACAGCTCACCAGCAGATTCACAGGCACGAAGTTTTCCTCACGCTTCTGAAGGAATTAAATGTATTCCAGGCACGGGAGACCATGGAAGACCATGGAAAACCATGGGAGAAGCCTTCTACTCTGAGGACCAAGCTCTACTCCCAACTATTCGGAACTCAACCCGTCACAGTCGCTCTGTGAGGTGACCGGTAACGGCCGCCTCCGTGAGGAGAGCGCGGGCTGCCCCCTGCTGGGCGCGGCCGCTCATGGTGGTTCGAGATTGTTCCAGCGGGTTCCAGCAGCACCGACCCGCCCCTCAGCACCACCGCAGGGGCCGAAACAGTGCCCAGCAGCGGGGACGTGTTCTCTTTGGAGCGAGTAAACGCACGTTGTCTTACGTTGTGGTACCAGAGGAGTTTTATCTGTATATGTAGAGAGATTTATATATAAACCTGTATATATATAAGTTTCATTTATATATATAAAAGTTTATGTAGTTTGTGCTGCTCCTCCAGTGGGAGCACCCTTCTCAGCTGCACAGTTGAAGGTTCCAGTAGCTACCGAGAGCTCACACTAGACCTTCACTGTGTGTATTTGTCTGTATAGATCTATATATATATTACAATAATAATATGTATAAATAACTAAACTAAAGAAAAACTAACTAAATAAAACTGCACTGAAACCAAGGTCTGGGAGGGGAAGAGCTGTTTCAATCAAGGCTTCCCTGTTGTCCATTTCCGCTGTTTCTCTGTTCTTATTTGCTTCCCTGGTAAAATCCGTGGTGAGATGTATACAAGTGCAAGCACAGGTTAAGTAAGCTCAGCCCGGCCCCCGATAGCACATACAACTTATGGTGGTGTGGTTTGTCTTCTGCCTAAGCTTGCAACAGCCAAAATAAATCCAGAGTGGGTGATTTCGGTAAAACCCCTCATGGCAGGGATGGAACTGGGTGATTTTAAGGTCCTTTCCAACCCAAACCATTCTGTGATTCTGTGAACCCCAGCAGAGGTTGCCCAGAGAGGTGGTGGATGTGCTATCCCTGAAGACACTCAAGGCCAGGCTGGATGCGGCTCCAGGCAGCCTGAGCTGGTTGAAGATGTCCCTGCTCATTGCAGGGCGGTTTGGACTATGTGACCTTTGAAGGTCCCTTCCAACCCAAACCATTCCATGATTTACTGTTCACCTGCTCTAAACGCAGGCACTGAGGGGCTGACTTAAAAGCCAGAGTGAAAAATGGCAGTCACTTGTTGAAATAACACAGGAGTGGAAAGAAGATACAATTACTTTCTTGATTGCTTGGTTTTCCTCTTCTTTCCCATTCTGCGCTGTCAAGTAACGCCTGCAAGCCAAAACCCAGGCATTTTAAAGAAAAAGAATAAGTATGTATGAGACTTTCCAAGTTGCAACTTACTTGTTTTGGTCAGCTTCATGCCAGAGACCCCTCTTTCCTATCAACAATATTTGTAGATGGGTTTCAAGGAGGCTTAGCTGCAACCATTAAACATGGAGCCTGTTGGGTTAGATGAAATTATGCGGGACTAGAAAGATTTGCAGGAGCCTTCTGATAGCAGATTAAAACTAAAACATTCAAGTTAATATGAAAGGATGTATTTTTTGTGTTTTAATCACCAAACCCGAGGAAAAGACACCAATTTACAGCGGGTTCTGTTTTATAGGGAATACGCATTTCCCAGGGATTTGACTGCAGCACCTAACTATTTGATATGGTTTGGGGAGACAAGAGAGCTTGCCTGCTTTTGTCATCTTCACACCAGTGGGGACTAGAGCCCGCTCACCTTGAAGTCCATCCTTTCCAAACCTAGGCAGCATGACTGAGGACAGCAGCTTAGAAGGTGGCAAAGCCAAAATTCAGTAAGCAACAATTTCAGATACATCAGGAATTTGGGCCATTTTAAACAAGTGACTTGGGGGTCAGGGAGTGGGGTTGCAGACTGAAAACCCCTCAGACCCCTTGCTACCCTATTGACAAGCTCTCTGGCTTGTGTTCAGGCCTTTCTGACGAGATGGTCACATCTTCTTCAGCAGTGTCAGGATGTGATTTGAAATGTGCATTGCTTACCCTTTCTGATATATTATACATACAGCTCAGCTGCCTCATAATGCAGACGCAATCCAAGCACAGTGGTTTTAATACAAACATTCATTAGAAAACAGCCTGTCTGGTCTCAACCAAAACAAACCATTTTTTCTCTTCTTTTTATAGCTTTCAGAAATAACCTTATGCAAAAAAGTGATTATAGTTGTAATGATAAAAAATGACGGGAAAATGACAATAAGTAATGTAGTATCTTTTCGGAGCACATCAAGGACTTTGAAGCTTCACGTGTGAAGGAAGGTCTTTTTTTAAACCCCATTGAGCTGGGTAATATAAGGTGTCTACATGAAAAGAAAATATTATCTGTCACTGCCATAACAGCAAGAAGATGAAATTATTTATATAGGCTGCAAGCAGAAGTGCTCCTGAAAGAAATCAGCACTGAATAAATATTTTTGGATGAATAGTATTCATCAGTAGCATAAGGGGAGGAAAGGGGAAAAAAAAAAAACCTGTATTGAGGATGAAAAACATAACAATTGAAATGAAATATTCCAAATACCTACTGAAATATATTTCTAAATTTGCTAGGATGATTTTACAAATAGTTCCCCCTCATCTTTTATTTGCATGGAGACAGCCAAGGATGCTGCAGAAACTGGATCAGTGTTCCAGACTCAAATAACCCATCCTGAGACAAAAGCAGCCACACTAGCAGTTTCTGCCTCTTACAGTTCTGTTTCCTGTGCTGTCACCAAGTACCCGAATTGCCATGTAGAGGGGATATTCCCCTTCACCTTCTCCATCCCATTTCTGTAATACACAGCCAGGGTGGGCTGGGGAAGCCTGGGTACAGCCTAACTTCTGAACCTGCTGTGGATGGCCTGACGTACCCGATACGGCACAAATGCCTGCTTTGTAGAAAAAAACTGGATAGAGTAAAACTTCAATCTTTAGCAGTTCAGTGAAGCACTGATTCTGCCAACAGCATGTTAAAGAGGGAGTCTCATCAGAGACTAAGGAAGAATAGCACAGGAAGCACTTTGAGGAAATTATGCACAATATAACTGCCATATGTTTTTCCTTTTCCCTTATTGGATAGGGGACACATAAACCATACGAACAGTGTACGAGGATAGATACATTACACAGACTGATATTGATTCTGGGGGGTTTTATGCCATGTAAATCAAGACTTGAAATAGACATAGAAAACTTCAGGCCAAAAACCAAACTGATATGAACTATAACAGTTATGATCAAGTAATACAAGCAGATTTGCTTTGATTTTTGCTTGTTTTGTGAACAGAAGCAAGGCTGCTGTTTTGCCCCTTTTGCACTGCTGTTGGGTGCACCTTCTTTCCCTTGCTGCTCAGGACTGTGATTTTGGGCAATTTGGAATAGAAAATGAGATCGAAGCATTCACCAAAGCTGCAAGATACCTTTATGAGATCTGAAAGTGTAGGAGAGGTGGTGTGGAGATTTTTATTCAGCTTTCTGAATGCAATCAAGAGCTCTGTCCTCTGATTGTGATTCTTTTCTTCAGCTTTAAAAAGTAGCGCTGTGTTGTCTGATTAAGTTTGAAATTATTAATCTGGTTTGCTAAAAATTCTATGTATTATAAAGGAGAAACAGAAAAAACTTATTTTTAAAGTTATTTATTTTTCTTTAAAATGAGGCTTGCTGATTTTCACTTTTGCACCCCTCCTAAAACACTGTTAGTCTAAAGATACCTGATCAAAGGAAGGTGATCTCCATTTTTCAGCAGCTGGAAAAGCTTTCTTGCTTTAAATCCTTTCACCAAAGAAAGGATTGAAGTAATTTTGTTTCAGGTTTCTGAGAAGATTTCTTCAGGTTGAAGTCAAGTAGGAGAGATTTCAGCCCCAACAATGAACACTGAATGTGCAAATTGTATATTAATCATTAATGACTTTAAACCAGTTCTGCTTCAACAAAAATGTACCTCCATGCACCAGGCACGCAAAGCGGCCTCTTCTCTGCCACTGCATCGTACTGTGGTATAGAAAATAGCAGAGCATGGTCTTAAAGGGGAGGAGAAACACTGGATATCTTCAGTGTCAATGTGATCAAAGGGATCAGCTAAAATACTCATTGTGTGTTCTTTCTGTTTGAAAGCTTTTTCTCAGAAGGCAACAGATAACTCAGACAGGATTTCATCTACATTTGCAGAGATCATTTATATTTGTCTAGCTTGTTACTGCAGATATCATTAAGAGAAATGCAGTAATACTTCTGTCATTATCCTGACAAATCCCCAGGGAATGTAAATGCCTCGCAGACAAAATCCTTTCACATCAAACCCAAGGTAGGTCACTAAAGAAATCTGGCTGAACATTCAAGCCCATGACGCCACCCAAACTTGCAGTGACTAAGTGATGAATGGCAGCACAGGGGTCCTTGATAAACACACAAAGACTTATCAGCCTTATCCTGACAGGTTCTCTGTTCCATGAAAGCTGCCAAAACCAAAACATCATCGCTGGAGAAGATTTCTAGGATTTGGCCACAAGTCAGCAAGGATTTTGACTCTTGTTCTGCTTCTTAACATAGAACAGCAAAGACGGCAGGCATCACAGTCTGTTGACTCACTCCTTTTCTGCCTTTCTAAGTATAGTTCTCCTTGCACTACAAAGTTGTTGGATACTTGAATTAATATGCAAAGCTTGATGGGATGCTTATAGTCCCCACAGGCATCATTAAGAGGCCAAAAATAGAGTGAAGGCAGAGAAACGCCTGTGCAGTAACAAACACCGCTCCATCGCTATCTGCATTACCTTCCAAGATTAACAATTGCCTCCTTTGGCTCCATCCTGACAGGCTACTACAAGGCTGGCTAACCTAGCATAGGATGGAAACATTTTTTACCTGATATTGAGAGCCAGTTGTCTAAAACAGGTTTATTAATTGCTTACCTAGACGGCCCTCTGGAAGTTTATCATGAGTGTGCAAAGGAAGGCAAATCCAACAAAAGGGGAAAAACTACCCCCAAAAAAGCCACCACCACCCCCAA